GCGTTTTGTTGAGTGGTAACTTTTAGAGGGTTCTATAATGAAAAATTAAAATTTAACTTGAAATTAAATTTATAAAAATCATTTAAGAATATCTTAATTATAAACCGCTACCTCGTCGATAATTTGATTTGAAATATTTTGAATTATTCGATAGAGAAATGCTTCTTGAATGACTTTGGGAAATGCTTCTTGAACGACTTTGGAAAATGGTTCTTAAACAACTTTGGGAAATGCTTCTTGAATGACTTGGGGAAATGCTTCTAGTATAACTTCAGGAAATACTTCTAAAACGATTTGGGGAAATGCTTCTAGTATAACTTCGGAAAATACTTCTAGAACGACTTCGAGAAGTGCCTCTAGTATAACTTCGGGAAATACTTCTAGTACAACTTCGAGAAGTGCCTCTAGAATAGCATAGAGAACAACATAGTGAAGTGCTTCTAGAACGGCTTCGAGAAAGACTCTGAGAAAAACTTCAGGAATAATTTCTTGAACATGGCGGGTGCTTCACTTGTTTCAATTTTTCATCTTTTTTGTTAGAGTTTTTTTTATTTATGATGCTCCAATCACTAATCGTTTCTCGCAAATTGCTTTCCTTTTGGTTTTTCATATTTCTTAATATTTTTTGAACTTTGACCAATGAAAGTTTTGAGCCTAAAAATAGAAATAGTCAATTAATTTCCTGCATTGTTTTAATAACTCTAAGTATTCAATTCATTACTAATTTGGAAATAATTTCTAATAAGAACTATCACTATGCATACATATTTTAGAAGTTATTTCTATATTGAACAGAAATGAACAAAACTAATGACTAAGTATATATTATAAACATTCCTTTTTAATTCAAAGTGCTCAATTCGTTATCAGGCTCATCTTTTTTGCAAGATGTTTTAGGTTTAAGCATACTATATATTAATTGATCTTAGAATATTAAATGTGAATAGTAATATTGTAAATAAAACTATAATATAAATAAAGACCAAAACTAACGTTTTATTGGGAGGTGATATCCATCCTTCATATTCATTATTCGAATGGTAGCTGCACTCTGGTTCTTCTTCAGATTGTAATTAAGACATACTTAGTCACAATATTTTTTGCTCATAATAATAATTGATGTATATGAAGATTCATTTGAAAAAGTATGAAAAATAGCTTTGAATAGAAATATATATAAACCAACAGCAGAGACAGTGCCCGATCCAGAGTAAATTCCTCTCTCCTGTGCAGAGATATACATCTCGCACGAAATGCTGATGTCATAGTATATTATTTATATTATCTTGCGCGAGAATCAATAGAATGACATCAGCATTTCGTGCGAGATATATATCTCTACTATCTCTACTTCTGTGATCAATCACAAATTAAATTATTTATATTGGATTCAATTGTGATGGATATGATCCCTCACCAGTTTTAATATATGTGTAATATTAAGGTCTCTGCTGTTATATAAACCAGCGATATAATACTTGCAGTCAATGTCATAATTTCGTGATTAATTTTTATCTGAAAGGTAAAATTTCTTTCTAAGGCTTAAGATCAATACATAAATTCTATTGCAAATTAATAAAATATTATACTACTAAAGACATATTTACGTAAAGATCGTAATTAGTTGTAACCTAATTACTTCAATATAAAAAATCTGGTTTAAAGTAGCACGTAACTAGTGACAACAATATGTTTGCCTCTCTAGATACTACAATGTTTGTTATAAATTCTTTTTGTACTTATTAAAATAACAAAATTTTCTTGCAATTTTAAAGATGAATTGATTATTTTATACTTTAATATATTAATTTAATATACTTCTATATTACGGTACCAAAAATTTAAAACGAATTCACGTAATACTTGTTTGATCACACTAAATCATATATTTTTCATGTTTCCGGATAACGGTTAAAAAAATGATGTAACTATTATATTTATCTTAACAGTGCAAATAGAAGTGCTGACATATTGTCATAATTATTTTAAAACTTATTATTTTTATTGAGGTAATTAGGTTATGACCTAATTACGACAATATATCTGTATCTCTAAGTACAAATAGATATCGATATGCAGCATATATAACAGTTAAATATATAGTTAATAAAAATGTAGAGATAAATAATAAATTAAAAGTCAATAATAAATATCTGATTTCTTATACACAAACAAGCAAATATTTGAATTGAATAAAATTTATGATACTGTTTAATTAGTATTGCTTAGCCTTGCAACAAATATCCTCAAATATAGAGAAAATTTAAGTACTTCATTATGAGATACCTATAATGTAATAAATTCCTTAGATTTAATATTACATAGTAGTCTCAATCAAATTTTTCGTTGCAAAATGCATAGTATACAAAAAATATATTTTTTCATAAAAATATTTTTATAAAAATATATTTAAGTACTCTTGTCGTTTGATTCGTAAAATATCTATTAAAATGACAAAGCCAAAAAAAAATCATATTAACAAAGATCGGTTAAAAAATATTACAACTAAACCCAGAACCAGAGATCTTGTTAAATGTAAATGTATATTGTATTGTAATGGTGGTCGTTAGGTAGACCCAAGAACAAAGGCTAAACATTAAAAGGAATTAGAAGAGCTTCTAAAGTTTAAAACAATTATTCAAGATAAAGACAGACCTGCTGAAAGTTTACTAGAATCTAAGTACAAAAGTGAATTCATTGGTGATTTTTTTAACAATAGCTCATCTGGAGATGATATAGTGGCTGGTCAGGATGAAACAGAGTCAGAGGAATCTGAACCAGATGAGGATGTTTTAATAAATAGTAGTCAAGAATCAAGCGATTCTGATTATGATGATCTTGAAGACCATAAATTTTCTAGTTCAGACATTGAACTAGATGACTCTTGGATACTGTTATAGATATTTAAATATCAGGCAAGGTTTCGCCTCCCAGTCGTTGCGATTAAATCTCTTATCAAGTTTTTTTGAATGGTCTTATTAGATGCCAACGAGTCAAGATTCAAGAATTTTCCCACCAGTTTACATATGGCAAGAAAAGTTTTGGGAATCGGCAAGCATGAAAAAATATATAGTGTGTGTCCCTGTTGTAATACTCTATATGAAGATTTGGAAATACTGAAAAATAAACAAGATAAAGGGTTCAAATATACTTACGTGGAGTTTCTTAATCATCCAATGCGTAGCAAAAGACAGCTATATGGTGCTGAATTAACTAAATAGATTCCAGTTATAGATGGTTATATTAGGAGACCAAAAATGATTTTTCCTTTATTATCTTTAAAAACACAATTAACCACTATATACCAATGTCCAGGATTTGAATCTCTTTTAAAAAAATAGACAAAATGAAACATTAATACTGGGTTAATGTCTGATATTTATAATGGTGAAATTTGGAGAAATTTTTCATTACAACTTGATATACCAAATCCCTCCCAGTTCTTTACACCAGAAATAGCGAATTTCTATTTAGGAATTTTAATTAATCTTGACTGGTTCCAGCCATTTGAAACAACGGTATATAGTAGTGGTGTAATATATGGCGTAATATGCAACCTTCCTCGAGAAGAAAGATTTAAACAGAAAAACATGTTATGTCTTGGGCTTTTATCAGGACCTACGGAAGTCAAATTACATAAAATAAACAATTATCTTGCACCTATAGTAGATGAATTGCTAGAATTTTGGGAAGGGTTAAATTGCTTATTGAAAAAATAAGATTAGCAGTTATTGGTTGCTCTTGCGATATTCTGGCTACCAGGAAGCTTTGCGACCATATATCAGCATTAGTTAGTTGTTATAGGTGCTACAAAAGGTTAGAAAGTTCATATGTTTTTAATAATTTTGATACGATTTTTACTATATTCTATTAATTTTTATTTATTTTATTTAATTTATTTAATTTAATTTATTTTATTTTAATTTTTTATGCAATTGCTAACTTTAAAAAAGAGCAAATATTGATGGAAAAAAATCAAACTTTGGTGGCTTTGATGATATGTCTAATTGGTTCAAAGAACGGGATCTTGAAGAACATCGACGAAATGCTGAAGAATGGTGTCACTTTAAATCTAAAAATGAAAGAAAATGACATGTTTCTGCTACTTGTGTTAGGTGGTCTGAGATGTTGTGTTTACCTTATTTTAATCCCATAAGACACCTAGTTGTTGACCCCATGCATTGCTTATTTCTTGGAATGACGCAATGGATTATAAAAAAATTGTGGATCGAGAGTGGAAAAATTACAAAATCTGATCTCATGTTGATGGAGTATTATGCAAAAGATATCAAGTTACCTATTGATCTAGGTCGGATTCCAAATAAGATTGCTGTTGGTGATAGGTTTTCTAAATTTACAGCAGATCAATGAAAAATATTTATATTAATATATGCAACTCCATTAATGTGGAACCTACTAGATGACATCAATCAAGAGATTCTAAGTAATTTTGTAAAGGCTTGTTCTTTACTTGTTTGCCGAATTATTAATAATAATATATTAAGTGAAGCATATACACGATTGCTTATGGTTGCTTTGTTAGTGGAAAAACATTATGGTTCTGAAATGATAACACCAAATATTCACCTCTCTCTTTATATTTCCGAATGCTGCCGTGATTATGGACCGTTAAATTCTTTTTGGTGTTTCTTATTTGAGAGAATGAACGGCATATTAGGTAACCTTTGTTTAACTGCTATAAAATTAAATATTGCAAATCGTATAATATTGGATTAAAAATTAAAATAAAATTTAGTAACTCTTTTAAATCTCTAAATCTACATACTGTGCTTTATTCAGTTCCGATCAATTTACTGATAATCATTTTACCAAACGCTCATTTAGCCGACATCACATAGGGTTAGGGTTAAGCATTTGATTAGTTGCAGGTATATATTTTTACTAAATTTCACTTGGCGTAATCTCGGCTAAATGAGCTGTTGAAGTGATTGTCAGTGAAATTATATGGACCAGCTTTATTAATAATTCCAAACTAAATCTTAAATAAAATTATAAAAAAATCCTAAAAAAAATACATTTAAAAAAATTTTAGTGAAACATGTAGATTTTAAATTAAGAGAAAGTTTTATCCCAATTCTTTCATACTAAATAAATTTTTTATATATATTTTTCTTAAGGATCGTTTCCTAATAGTAAGAGAATGGTTGAATTAGATCTTTTACGAATTATTACGCAAAATTGGAGATTGAATAGTTTGATTTTTAATCAATCAAATAATTATAAGCTGCTCAATGCACTTAAATTCATAAAATCTCGGCCAACAACTGGAAGCTTAGCAGCAAATAATAAGGTTGATTTTGCTGATTTATACTATTTTGTACAAACCTTCCGTCAAGAAATTGATAATACTATTACAGGTAGTGAACTTTTTCCTAGAGAAATGCTTATTCTCAAAAAATCTCAGATATCTCTATCGGACGATATCTATAGACTACTAGCAGAATATTATAAAACAGCATACAACAAAAAAGAAATTGTAACAATTACTAAAGCAGCTTCTAGTAAAGATAAGTTAGAAGATATGATTATCGCTTCTCCTATTATAGATCAATACGCACGAATTCAGATTGGAGACGAATTTTTTGGATCAACAATGACCCCAAAATATAAAAACAATTCATATATATTAGCAAAATTCATACAAGATAATGGAAGTATTGATATTTTTCCTGAAAATGTTCAATTCTTTTTTGAAAATACAATTACACTTTTAAATATAACGGTAAAACACAAGCTTGCTTTTGTTAAATGGTATCTACCAGCTCCTGACCAGCAAACAAGATTTTATTTCAAAGATGAAACTGAAGAATGTAATGTTGAACTTTGGAAATATGATTTCTATAAAATTGGTAGAGATAGTATTATTCCAATTCACAACATTTATAGTCAGTTTATACCTAGTAAATTTACTATTAGAATACGCAAACCACGAACATATATGGCTATTATACCTATAAATCGACAATTTAATTTATAGTTAACAATTTTCACTTTTTTAGAAATTATCTCAATTATATATATCCATACATACGTAGCAAATGTTGTAAGTTGTACATAAAACTTTATAGTATATACACAAGCAGATTGCTTTTGATAGTAAATATATCAATTATATAAGTGTCAAAAAACAATATAAAAGATTGACTTTATAACATTAAAAATGTACAATAATTCTTCAAGAATGGTATATACGTTGCGAGAGGAAAATTTCATCAAGGTCACAGTTTGGTTGATCTAACCAAATTGGTTGAAACCTGCCAAATTTGCTATAACTACCATAGTGATAGCAGATTTGTCAGAAATAGTTGATCTGCTAGAAATTACCGCTAACCACAGTATCCACATTCTACAAACAAAATTTGTATAATACCCAGGGTACTATACTAAGTGATTTTTTATATAAAAAGTTTTTTTGCATAGAATATATCCCCCGGGTATTTTACATTCTACTATAAATTTTTTAATAGGGGTACTTTGCATGGAGTACTATTGGTCAGTGCTGTACAGTAGTAGAAATAGCAGATATGGCCATAATGGTTAAAAATTCGTATTAAATTAGTACTGTATAAAAAGTATTTAAATGCAAATATTTCGATGCAAATAAAGGATAACTCCCCGTTGAGTTCATAACTACAAAAGTAAATGAGTAGTAGTTTTTCTTAAAGCCCCACTTGATATAAAGTCCTTAACGTATATCGGTTATCGTATTTTCTTGTTCTCGAAATTCGTAAAAGACCCATTATCATTAGTAAGCTAAAATATAAAGAATAATCAAATTAGTAATCAAACCCTTTTTTATATAAAACGCTTAAATTGATTAAGTTGTGATTAACCCCGTTGTTAATAAACATATATACGTAATTGTTCCAAATCATGATCCCATGACACGTGATACTAAAATTCGGAACCCAAAAATCGATTAAAACCCAGACGCACTTGAATAGTAAAGAATTTCATATAGTAGATATTAGTAGAGAAAAGTAAAAGTAATATTAATTATTAGTATTGCTAACAAATTCAAAAAGTAATGAAACTAGTCCTAAAATTGTCGCAGTATTGGAAAACACTATTCTCAGACCAAATCAAACTATGCCTCGATCAAAACCTACCAATTAGGGTGTAGAAGAAGAATTTTATTATATTTATTGTGTAGTAGTGACTATTGTTAGACTAGTTTTTGTTATCATACCATTTTTTACTGTCACAACGTACGTATATATATACGTACATACGTACTGTACCCTCAGAAAATATATTACGGTTACATGAAAAAACAACATAAATACATATATTGAAGATAATGCATTAGTATTTGCAGCCATAACATTTATTACACCGGTAAATTTTAAAAAATTCGACGTATTGAATGGCAACATTCAACTGCTATTAAATGATAAGTCATTCAATCAGTCATTCAACTTACATACAATATATTAAATAATATGTCATGTAGCTTTTGTAGCTTT